TATAATCGGACCTGACCCTAGCGTTGGTGCTTAATCCTAACCTTTGTGTCGTCGACACCTCAACGGACGCATAGCCTTTTCGGCGTCCGGTCATTTGAATGACCTAGCGTCCGGTCGATGAATGCCGGCCTTGACATGATGCGACCAACTCTATTTCACCTCTAACTTCTCCACCCTTGTTCAAATGTGCCAACCACCAAGTGTATCACCTTGTGCACATGTGTTAGCATATTTTCACAAATCATTTTCAAAGTGTTAGCATTCCACTAGATCATAAATGCATATGCAATGATTTCTGACGTCTAGTGGCACTTTGATAACCGCATTTCGATCTGAGTTTCACCCCTCTTAATAAATGCGGCTATCGATCATAAATGTGTCATCTTTCGCTAAGTGTCTTGATCACTAAAACGCCGAGGCTCCTACAATTTATACCTTTGTCTTGAGCCTTTTGTTTTTCTCTTTCTTCTTTTCCAAGTTCAAGCACTTGATCATCACCATGCCATCACCATTGTCATGATCTTCGTCATTGCTTCATCACTTGGAGTGGTGCTACCTATCTCATAATCACATTGATAAACTAGGTTAGCACTTAGGGTTTCATCTATTAACCAAAACCAAACTAGAGCTTTCAATAATATGCTGCCACATCTAAGGATGGCAACGCGGCGGATTCGGATCGGGTGGAGTCGGCTGGGCACCCAAAACTGAAATCTGAACTTAAAACCCGAATCCGCCCCAAACACCAGTTTGGGTGAAAATCTATCCTCGAAACCAAAATCCGTGGATTCCCAGGTTTTGCTTGTTTCTCTTGGCGGATTATCAAGACCAGTGGAGGATTCTGAGACAGATTGTTCGTGAACATGTCCGTGGCCGTGAGGGAGTTGTACCTTCCCTGCCTAGAGTGCCAAAAGGTAACTCTAATATATTGCTCGTGGTCATTGAGTTCTCACTGTGGTAGGTTCTGATGTGTCAAATCATGTGGACGAGGTTTGTGCCTCGGCTAGCCACCGGCAACCACCCAAGTGTTGATTCTTTATTGGCAACTCCTCTGCTCCTCTGCTTATGGTGGTGTGAGGCGGATCGATTGTCTGAGTTGTCATTTGTAAGCTCTAGTTTGGTCATATGGTTCATTGGTGAGCCTAAGTCTAACCTGGTTTATCAAAGTGATAATCATATCATTTACTCATTTACACATTTCAAGAATTTAGATATAGCAAGCTCTTTAGTGTAATTAGAATTGAGAGCTTGCCTGTGTGTTTTAATTTTATCTAGTGGAGCTCTTTAGTGTAGCATTTGTGAGAGCTCTTAGTGAGTAGTGATCAAGTAGATTGTGTGCCCATTAATCATTTCTACTAGAATTGTTGAATAGGTGGCTTGATAAACCTTGTAGAGCTAGAGCAAGTTTGCATTACACTATTTGTCTTACTAATCAAATTGCTCTAGTTGATTTGTAGTTTTTAAATAGGCTATTCACCCGCCCTCTAACCATATTAGGACCTTTCAAGTGGTATCGGAGCCATGGTCACCGTTTGTGTAAAGGCTTAACAACCTCGGTGTCAAATTATGGCTCAAGTTGTGTTCAACCATGTGGGGGGCAAACCACCATTCTTTGATGGCACAAGCTATGATTATTGGAAGAGAAAAATAAAGATGTATCTTGGTTCAATCAATGATCAAGTGTGGGAAGTGACGGAAAATGATTATTCTATCATTGATCCGGACAATCCTACCAACCAAGATAGGACCAACAAACAATGCAACACAATGGCGCTCAACACCATATACAATGCCATTGATTCAAAGGTGTTTGAGCAAATCAAGGATTGTGAAAGAGCAAATAAAGTATGGAGGAGATTGGAGGAAACCTATGAGGGCACACCGGAGGTGAAGAGAGCCAAGTTATATATTCTCAAAGACAAGTTGATAAGCTTCAAGATGAAAGATGATGAGAGCATTCCGGAGATGTTCCATCGCTTGCAAGTCATTGTCAATGACTTGAAGGCTTTGGGAGAGAAGATCAAGAATGATGATGTTTCTTATCGGTTCTTGATGAGCCTACCTCCAAGGTTTGAAATGTTGAGATTGCTAATCATAAGAGGAGGATTGAAGGAGATCACCCCCAACCAAGTACTAGGTGAAGTCATGACACAAGAAACATACCATGTGGAAAGGGAGGGGGATGACAAGGAGGACAAGAAGGAAGATGAGGACAAGAAGAAGAAGAGTGTAGCATTCAAGGCTAGCTCATCATCATACAAGAATAAGGGCAAGTCCAAGAAAGAATCAAGTGATGATGAGGATCTTAGTGATATTGATGATGAAGCTATGGCTCTCTTTGTGCGCAAGATGGGTAAGTTCATGAAGAAGAAGGGATACGGTGTAAAAAAGAGAAGAGATCACACTAAGAGTAAAGAGTATGTGAGAAGATGCTACAATTGCAAGAGCCCCGATCATGTTGTAGCAAATTGCCCTTACAATAGTGACAATGATGAAGATGAAAAGAAGAAGAACAAGAAGGACAACAAAGAAAAGAAAGAAAAGAAGGAGAAAAAGATGACCTTCCAAAAGAAGAAAGGTGGAGGCTATGTGGTAACATGGGATAGTGATGGCTCTTCGGATGATGATAGCTCTAGTGATGATGACAAGAAGCATATCAAGAGAGCACTAGCAAGCATCGCCATCAACAAGAAGCTCTCCATCTTCGACACTCCATCAACATGCCTCATGGCAAAGCCTACAAATAAATGTCACTCAGTTGATCGAAGGGTGAACTACATAAAAGTTTACTATTTTTGTTATCATGTATTGTATTTTTTAGCCTATAAGTTTGTATATGTTGACTCTTTGTATACATCAACTCATTATTATATGAATAAATAAATGTCTATTTGTATGATTGACGTATCTTGTGATGGATGTTATTGTACTAATGATGTGCTAAACATGTGGTAACTGGTTGTGATGTTAGCATCCATGTCCTTTGTAAATAACGATGTGGCTATTCAATCCATGATGATTATTTTCCGTCACAAACACACTGGGCTTGGGTTGGGCTAAGTGGCCCTTGGGCTGATCTCACGATGATGTAAAATCGTCATGGATTGTGTTAATTTGTAACGGTTTTCGCACAATTGTGCTAATTTGTGACGGTTTTTGCACAACTCTGGCTACACGAAAAACTCGAAGCTTGTTAGCTCGCTCGACTCGTGGTTGGCTCGGCTTGGCTCGTTTGATAACGAGCCAACTCAAGCTCAGCTCATAAAGCCGCTCAAGAGGCAAGCGAGCCACGCTTCTAGGGAAAAACAGCAGAACTTATATTAGTTTTTTAGTACTTCATGTCTTGCACTTTATAATTGGTTGATGACTAGTCTAGACCCTATAAACTTGAGATTATTATGACTTTATCATTTTGTTTTTAATGAATGTATGGATAGTTGTGAACACATTATATATGGTATGAAGTATGGACCATGGATGTATGATGTAATCCTATAATATATTATTATACTTGTACATATGTTAGCATATTTTAATTTTTTGTTCGATTTAAGGCTGTTGGATGTGTTATTTTTGTATTATTACTATTCTCAAGCTTTAGATAAATGCAAATATTATATTTTGTGTATTTTTCTATACTTGGCTCACGAGCTTAACGAGCCAGCTTAAGCTCGTAAACGAGCCGAGCCGAGCTGGCCTTTTGGCTTGTTGAGATAACGAGCGGAGCCAAGCTAGCTCGTTATCTTAACGAGACAGAACGAGCCGAGCTGAATCGAGGTGGCTCATTATCCAGCCTTATGCACAACCATCACGCACGTCAATCCATGACGCGAAATACATGATGATATCCAAAACCATCACAAATGTTGTTTTATGATGGTTTTTTGAGATATGTGACCGAAGTTAACCGTCATGTATTAACAGGTTTCTTGTAGTTGATTGATGCTGCAAAGGTATTCAAGCTCCATACAAGTGTAAGGTGTTGTTTGGATCCGGGGGATTCTAACAATCTAGATAGAAAAAAATCTCAAAATCCTAAAGTTTCATCCAAACACCCTAGGATTGTAGACGATTGTAACACATGGATACAAGATCCAAGAAATATCAGAGATTGTTTTTATTCAGAATTCGAATTTTAGAATCCAATCCAAACATGCCCTAAATTTGACAAAGGAAAATATTCAATGTGAATGTGACAATATATCTTATTATATATACAACAAATAAATGTAGATGGTATAATAAATATTTCCTCAAAATTAAAAAAAACAATAAGGTAACTGCTTCCGTGTCTGTAGGACTTTCCTGGCGTAACACGCCCAGAATATATGACATGATGTAAAACTCTAATCTAATCTCAGAGATCCACAATCCACGGAGGGATCCAAATCTCCGATCCCAGGCATCACCGCGGTTCCTGTCGCACTGCAGCCCTTGCACCGGCCGCCGCCAACCACAACGAGTCGATCGAGTTCATGATGTCCTCGACGTCAACCTCGACCTCGATCCTGTTCCGAGTCGATTCGTAGGACACCACAACTCCCACCCCTACCCGCTCCCACAATACTCATATAAACACGGCCACAGCGACAATCCCAAAATTCACAACGCATATCCGAACACAGACACCGAATAAGACTCCTAAGAAAGAAGCTTGAAGAAGAACGGCGATGTCATCCCGGCGGTTCTTCGACTATGACCCCTACGAATACGAGTACGATCCCTACGACTACAACTGCTACTACACCGCCGCCCCGAACAACTACCCCTACGACGTGTACTACCAGCGGTTGCCCGTTCCCACCCTCAGCTGCAAATCCGGGGCATCTTTGCTGGCGCCGAGCCGGCGGCCGTGAAACCCACGCCCAGGGAGAGGGAGAGAAAGACGTCGTTCTCGATCCCAGTACACGGGCCCGACTCGGATCCCAAGCCGGAGCGGGAGCGGGAGCGGAAGGCGGCGGCGCCGGTGGGGGGCACGAGCGGAACCGGTGGCGCCGGCGATGTCAGCGGAGGAGGCCGCGGTGAGGATGCAAGCGGCGGCGCGCGGGTTCCTGGCGAGGAAGTCTGTGCGGGCGGTGCGTGAGGTGCAGTGGGAGGCGGAGCAAGTCCGGGTGAAGATGGTGTCAGAGGCGGAGGCCCTAGTCGCAGACCCCAGGGCGAGCGTCGCCGTCGGGAAGGCGCTGATGAGGATGCTGCTGCGGCTCGACGCGGTGCGCGGCGCGCGGGAGTACAGGCGGAGGGTCACGAAGCGGGTGCTCGCGCTGCAGGATGCCGTCGACGCGCTCGAGACTAAGCCGGCGCCGGCGCCTGCTCCCGCGTTTGTGGGGAGGAGGCAGAGGCCAACGCACCGGAGGCGATGGTTGCCGAGATGGCGGAGGAGAGCGCGGTACCGCCGGAGCAGCTGGATGGTGCGGAGCGCGGTAGTGAGATGGAGAACATCAAGAACGCGGTTCACGACCATCCAGATGGATGTCGACAAAGCAATAGCCGCCGGTGAGCCTGAAGCGAAAGCAGCAGAAGAAGAGGAAAAGGAAGTGGTGCCGGGTGATGCCAATGTTGATGTCGACGAGCCGGAGGATTGGGCCGCCGAGGGCGAGTGGGAGATGGTGACTGAGGAAAACGAACACGCTGCACCCGTTGCAGCCACGTCCGACGACCCGGAGCCACCGCGCAAGGAACCGGCGTACCCGTTGGAGACCACGAGGACTGCAAGCGCTGGCGCTGCCTCCTATGGCGTGGACGCGAGGAAGGTGATGGAGATGGTGGCGGCGCTGTGCGAGCAGAGCGCGAAGCAGTGTACGGTGATCGGCGCGCTGGCCGAGCGTGTGGATGCGCTGGAGCATACCGTGCGGCGGATGGAGGACGCTGAGAGCTGCCGCTGGTAATCCACGAAGCTGAACACAGAGGGCAAATGAAGGAACAACAGCAAGTTTTACAGCGATTGATGACGCACAGGCATTAATAGAGATTTAAACAGTTTCGTAATTTTGCATTGCTTCTAATGTCGGCCTTTACTATTCCAGACATTGGATTGTTTAAATTTATTTTGTTATTATTATAGTAATGGAGTTCTTCGTAGTTCTAGTTCATTTTTTCCCGCACCTCTTGAACTCTTGGTCTTGAGTGTTGAGACTACAGTACTACATAGCGAAGCCCAACGCACCAGCAGAGGAAGAGGCCTCTGCAACAATCTGAGATGATTAAATCCTGAATGGGGAAGAGCAAGCTGGAAAAGGAGGGGTATTCACCGGTGAAGTCTGTGAATCGGTGTTTGCCTTTCCAGTTGCCATACATGAATCCGTCGACAAACTAGGCAGCTCCTTACGGTGCTAGGATTCGGAGATGAGGCGGTACCAGGAGCGACACACACACTTGCAGCTGCACAAGGTGCGGTGGTGGAGGCGTATGGAGGATAAGGACCAAGATATCGTCTATTAGGATGTCTATTTCGTTCCTCTTATTGGTGGCCTCCTCCTCCATCTTGACTAGGATGTGGTGGAGGCGGGGCTGGCGATGGAAGTGACAGCGTTGTAGCATGAATCGAGTAGGGGCACCTTGGAATGTGCTCGTGAGCTCCTTAATGATCAGATGGAAGCTTGATTCATACTTAGATGAGATAAGAGGGGAATAAAAAAGCCAAGAAACATGGATAAGGGAAGTGCGAGAAGGCATTACCCTTGCTTTTGGATCTTCTTGGCGGTGAGCTCTCGAACAGCCACGGCGGTGTGACGAAAGTACCAGCATGGTCACCGGTGGATCTGTGCGGGCGTGCCGTTGAGGCATACTAGCGCGGAGCACTAGGTTGTCGGCGGTGAGTGGCGGCTTAGACGCCGATGAGTAGGAGAGGATTAGCAGCACTTGAGGAGGAGACGGACAGGGTGGCGGCCGGGTGGGTGCTTGTCTTTGTAAGCTAACTACAAATCGCCTAAAAATTCTAAAAGCATACGGGAGTCTCGCTGGCTTGCAAATTTTCATGATGTCGGCGGCGAAGGCTACCAGCGGTGGTGATTGGGTCTTAAAGAAGATGGTACGTAGCACCTAACGACGGGTGTGTCATACGGAAATTGAATGTTGGAAAGGAACAAAATATTATGAACATTATTTTTGCAGGTTACAGCAAGTGCATGAGATCGATGCTGAGGCAGACCGCTATGTCTTTCAAGTAAGGCAGTTCCCATAAGATTGACATTTTCTTCCACCTCTTCTTATCAGCAGTCTTTGCTTTTTCACTGCGCTTTTGCTTTCCGAGGACAGTGCTTTCCAGGTCAACTTTAGGTGTGGTATCCTCTACCACCTAGTCATATACCTGTTGCCCGCTGAAATGCCTTGGTGTAGATCCTATCTCCCTAGTGCCATCAAACTGACGTTTCATCTCCCGGTATGGATGAGACTTAAGAAGGAAACGTCGGTGCCTTACATAGACCCTCTTCTTTGACTTATTCAGCCAAACAGTCTTCGTGTCATCTAAGCAATGAAAGCAGTCTTTTTCTCCTTTGCTCTGCCTAGACATGCTATGATGTCCTGGAATATCAGTGATAGTGGTGAAGAGCATGGCACGTAGGTTGAAATGTTCTTTCCTGAACCCATCATACACCCTGATACCCTCTTCCTTCCAGAGTTCCTTGAAATCATCAATAAGCGGCCTCAGATACACGTCAATGTTAACACCTGGTTGACATGGACCAGATATCAGAACTGACATCATCATGTACCTCCTCTTGTTACACAGCCATGGGGGAAGGTTGTAGATAGTTAATAGCACAGGCCAGACACTATGTGAGCTACTCATGTTACCAAATGGGTTCATGCCATTCGTGCTGAGTGCAAACCAAAAATTCCTTGGCTCATCAGCAAAAGCTAGATTCTTCAAATCAATGACCCGCCACTGAATACCATCTGCTGGGTGCCGTATGTAATCATCAACCGTCCGCCCATCCAAGTGCTAGCTCAACAGTCGTGCATCCTTGGAGGTTGCAAACAAACATTTCAGGAGAGGAATTATAGGGAAGTACCAAGCAACCTTCCTAGTAACTCTACGGCGTGTCTCCTCGCCATCATCACCCTCGTCAGTTCTTCGCTTGTAATGAGAGGTCCCACACTTGGGGCATTCAATGAGGGTTGCATTGTCACCATGGAACAAGATGCAGTCTTTCTTGTAAGCATGAATTTTCTCGAACTTCAATCCCATCGGACAAACAATCTTCTTAGGCTCATATGTAGTCCTGGTATTTGATTCCCCTCAAGAAACATATCTCCGAGCACTTCTAGCAATTCTCTGAAGCCCTTGTCAGTCTAGTGATGTGCCACCTTCAGTTGGAGAAGCTTTAGTGAAGCGGACAACTTCGTATACCTCTCATTGCAACTCGGATAGAGTGGTGTCTTCATATCTTCCAACAGTTGCTTCAGCTTCTTGAACTCCGAACCAGTGTACCCATCAAAGCCAAAGGCATCACGCATCTAGATTCTCAACCGTAGGGACAGGGCTAGCAGCAATCTCTGCTACATCATCATCATATAGTTCCTCATTGCCAAAGGGTGCTTCCTCATTGCCACCGGCACAAGTTTCATGAAGTCCTTCCTCACCATCTCGCTCATTGACACCTTCTTCTCCATGTTTGTTCCAACATCTATAGTCATCCATGAATCCTCGAAGAATTAGGTGGGCATGGACTGACAACTGATTCGAGTACCGCTTCTCATTCTTACAGTCAACACATGGGCACAACATACATGACTTATGTCCATTCCTCATGTCCGCCTCTGCAACAGCTAGGAAATGTTTCGGTCCTTCCAAGTACTAATTACATGTATGGTTCTGAAGATACATCTAGTGGCCTCGATCCTCCATAGTCTCCAAAAGAAGCACACGCCAAAGAAGAGGAGGTCGAATAGCAAAGCACACTGGGGACCAGGGAGGAGAGCTAAGCATGTCGGCGATCCCCGCAGCTCGAGATGGTGAAGAAGCGGTCGGAGCATGCCTGATCGAGTACACTCTGAGAGGAATGAGTTCGAGTCAGACTCGAGCTCGACCACAACCATGGTAGTGCGGCGGACATAGAACGGCAGCACAGTGGTGCTCCGGCCGATACAACATGGTAGAGGTTAGTCGAAGGGCTCAGGCAGCATTAGCAGCTCACTGCGATGTCGATGCGCAGCTTGGTTGAACCGGGGACGAGGAGGAGTGAGATGGCTGGCGATGATGGCGCGTGCAGTGGCGCTGAACTGGTGGCGAGGTCGCCGTTCCAGCGTGACCTGTTCATTAGAGGTAAAAGAATGGAGCCGATGAGCCTCACGGAGTTGTAGGAGAGCTAAAACAATAAGCGGGATCACTAGAGGAGTGCGGATCACTAAACGGGCCGCAGCGGGATACCTCTATGTGTGTGCCTTGAAAAGCACACGTACAATATTGTGTTGATCTCTTCAAGAAGTTCTAGAAAACTGTAAGTTCACTTCATAAAATTGAATCATTAATTGGTGTTTGATAGTGATTTTATTCTCATCACTTTTTTCAGAAGAAACTTATTATCCTGGTTTTGGACTCCATGCTGCTACTCAGTCCTAAAAAAACAATAACTTTGACACATTTAGTTGTTAAGCTGTTAATAAGTGTTTCACCAGCAATCGATTTTCAGTGAGTAGTGTCGGGCTTAAATTATTAAATATTGAATTGATAGCTGGAATTTTCATGTAGTGTCTGGACTTTCCTCACATCACCAACATAGATACATAGCAGAAATAATTGACTGAGACAGGTTTGGGTTTCAGGCTCGCCACCGTCGACGGCTTCGAACCTGGCCAGCCGATCGACTTCACTGACCTCTTCAAGGAGGACGACCTCATCTATGTGTCTGGCAACTCCATCGGCAAGTGGTTCCAAGGTACACTAATTCTCACACCTCCATCCATCACTGTACTTGGGTACTTGCAATGCCAGCAACAATAATTATCCCACATTAATCCGCAAGCCTCCGGTTGTATTGTATGTATCATTCCGTTTCTTGGAGAGCGATGTTAGCAGCATTTGCAATTCTTGACTGAAAATTGTATGCCTGGCGGTTGTGTACATCTTTTGTAGGTGGAGAATGGAGAATTCCAAGAATAAATGCTATATGTAAGGGACCTCAGACGGAATTCCAAATATACATTCGGTCATTTAATTCTGGTGTGTTGATTGCTTACATTTGTGTAGAAAAAACACTTGGATTTCCTTTTTATTCCGTCATACCGCGTCATTGAATAATATATTCTGATGGCTAGAAATATCAATTTTGTACACTAGAGTAATTTTAAGAAGACCATTTCCATTCTTGAGAGTCAATGAATTAGCTTCTATGCTTTGGAATGGTATTTTGTATTTACTAAATTTATTTTAAAGATAACCTGTTTATTATAAAAGGTAGGAATTTGTTTAATAAAATAAAATAAGTATAAATTCATCAATATAGTTGAAAAGAAACTTGAAACAACATGCACCAGATACGCTCCCTCAGTTCTAAGTGCTTGTTACTGTGACCATATACCAAAGGAAATCAATTTTTCAAAATTTTATTTGTTAATATTTCAATTTGGGTATTCCACACAATATTCCCTTTTCCTATTATTCTATTTAAAATGTTTGCAGTTAATTTAGTTAGTATGTTGTATTGTGGACGTGACTCTTTTCTTTACCTATTGGTACACAAGTGAGGTTATGGGATGCTGAAAGAAGAAGCTATATTGGGATTGGCAAAGGCCATCTGAAAGTTGTTGGTTCTTTTGCCTTCTCAAAGAAAACAAAAACTTTTTTTTGGTGGCAGGTTTGATTCATTTTTAGGGGGTGTTTGAATCCGGTGACTAAAATTTAGGAGGTGTCACGTGAGGGTGTCGCATGGGGTATTCGGATACT